GCAACTAAGCGAGATTATTTGATTATCAACGTAGGTATGCAGCAACAGCTGTTTATGCAGGAAATTTCAAATTAATGAACACTACCCTAGGACCCTACCTGGTATCGTCATTAATGCCTACAAAGAATCTAATCATGCCATCATCCAGAGGCAAAAATCGGCAAACGACACAACGCGTTTGCATCAGGTCACTAACAGCACTTTTTTCAGGACTATAAATTTTTATTAATGAGTTGGCATTACCCAATGATTTAGTTTTCAAGAAAACACCTTAGTTAATTCCAATAGGAAAACAAGACCCATATGACTAAAATGGGCCTTTTTAAAACGATTAATAAACAGTATTCGCTTACCCAAACTGTTTTCTGTACCAAAGTTTGCTGTGACATCTATCGGGAAGAAGTGATGTCTGAAAAAGTGTATGAAATTAATGAAAGTAGGATAGATAGCGTACTTGGTCATCCGGTTTTAAATGCAACTGATTACATATTCTCCGTATTCACAGTAGGTACTGGCTGACTCATCTGCTTCTATTTAAAACATCGGTAATAATAAAAACACTTTTCGGGACCAGAAATGGAGGTGTTGCGAGAGATATCGTCAAATCTACTGTATTCTGACAAATAAAGCGAAAAATTGGGATGGAGGGCCCCGACGAAGCCAGGCACTGTTTTAATCTTCAACTAAAAGAATGGTATTCAGCATTCTGTTGCATTCATGCCGCCTATGCTAGCAGTATTTCAACCCACTTAATAAGCTCATCTTTAGACTCGTAAACTCCCAGAGGTAACTCGGCCGCTATATGTAGGCAGCCACATGGATGACTACGATATACACTACTTATGCATAAATACTTGTGAAGAAAAAGGGCCTGATGCTCAACTTTTTTTGGGTGTCGAGAGCTAAACATTAGGGGCGTTTAGATTAGCTAGCTTCCATTGGTAATCGCTCCGCATGCTAGTAAGCTTTTAAAAACTTGGGTAAATATCTACGTATTATATATTTACATTTATAAAAGAAACTAGTCGTATTGAATAGCTAAAGAACTGACATTTATGATAAAAATGCATTTGTATCGACTCGTGAATCTATATCAACGATGGCAAGTTAAAGTAGAAAACTAAGTGATTCCGTCAGGAAACGAAAAACTAGTACAATCAAACTAGTAAACAGCTTAAATATGGAAATAAAGTGGTGGAAATCGAAACTTTTTGAAATGGATATTCAAAAAAATCTGACAATTGGATAAAGCTTTTGAGTAGATGCCAAACAACCTTTGTCAAACCGGCTAATAAGCAAAAAGTCTATGGTTTCTGGTCTGGTGAAGAAGATAGGAATTGTGAATACGAAATTACCCAGGACTGGGGCTTGCAGAGGGCGCACTCATTCTGCCAAGGTATTCAGGACTCTCCATGTACGCGGGGAGGTAGACCGTTTCCATCGTCATACACATTGTTTTGTAGGCACTAAGGCAAATATTTAGGGAAAAATAGAGGACCCTGTTACTTCCAAACCAGTTAAATAGAAGTACAGTTCCTCAGATTTTGAAAGTTAAAGCATTGTGGTAATATAAATTGACACAGGGGGAGGGAATACATAATTCTATGGTTGCTCATTCCACATGAAATGACCGCTCCACAAGTCCAACTTTTCCATATCTTAAAAGGGAAGTAGTACGGTTATTTCGACACCACTAACTTGTTTCCTGTGACCTCTAGTGGAGAACCCTAAAAGGTGGACAGAAAACGAGAAAATTAATGAAGGAGACTTGCACGACGCTTTAGAATAAATTAAACGCAAGAATACATAATTAATGAGTACGGAATCCTTGTTTTTGTGCCTTCGTTTTGCAAAGCTGTTTACTAACAAAGAATGAAAGTGATTAATGGAGTTTCTCCCAAATTTTAGCAGTGCGCAACTTGCATCAATCCAGTGGTTAAGTGATTCAAGCTATTACTCATTCACATAGCCATTAAAGCCGAAGCAAGGGTGGGTAAAGGTGTGGCCTACAAAGGTATCTTAGCTATCTCTTCCGACGTTGGCACATGGTACTCTCTTCCAGCGCTTGTATATTACACTTCAGTTCACGAGGTAAAATTGCTGTTGGTTCAATGTGTATAGGTGCATGATTTTGCTTTTCTTCTTTTGTAAAAGTAATTAACTCAATAATGTGGTGACGATAAATCTACACTTAGCTCAATGTACGCTGAGTGGTTCAAATTCTTTCTTTTTAAACACTATTTATCCACTACCTTTAGCTGACTTCGTTAGCGATAAATCGTAGTCTCGAGGTCATTGAGGTTCGCCAATTACCTTGCAGAGATAGTGGCAAGATGCCACAGCCAAGTCACTACTTTATTAATCGATGCTCTCCTATTTGCTTTGGTACTAATTTGGTTGAGGGAGCGAAGCCAAATGAAATCCGAAGGCTTGCCAAACCTACGTGCCTCAAAAAACGATCCAGTTTTGAATCAAACGTTTGATCTGCTACATCTTGGCGGGAAACAAGCGTGGGTACTTCAACTATGAAAAGTCAGTTTTCGGTTCAATAAACGCCTTGGTTCCAACTCAAGTTTCTCATGTGGCTGGTCCATTTTCAGGGTAAAAAATACCTTCAAGAACAGAGGTTTCCAGTTTATGAACTAATTATTCCCCCAACTGCAAACCACCTAGTCTACACTGCTGTATTAGTGCCACAAAGGAGCCTTACTCAAGGACAACGCAAACTACCACCTGTAAATACTCCAAAAATTTGTTCCAATAAGACAAAATGGCTTATGAGCCACAAAAGGTAAAGCTGTATTTGCCTTAAGGTAACTGATAGCTAGGTTGCAACCGCAGTCATCGCTTAGTCAAAATCCACCTGCCGCAGTCGCTTGATCAAGTTTCACAAGGCCATTATGGACGAACTCAAGTTGGGAGTTGTGCCTACAACCAGATATAATACTCTCACTTAAGTGACTGTTCTATTCCAAATCAGAACATACAAACGTCATGCTAAGCCCATGAAGTAGTAGGTAGGATGACAATGCCAATCATCCAAAACAATATTAAGCGGTCACATGATCCACCTTTACACCTTGGCAGTAAAAATGGAAATGCTTCACCGTATAGTTCCATTACCGCATCAATTTGCGGAAGCAAATGGCTCATTTTCGTGCCGCTTCTTAGTTTTGGATGAGTAAATCTCTTTCATCCAATCACAAATGACCCCAACTCATCATTACTCATCTTCACAGTGTGCCTCAATCGTCTGTTTACTTTTCAAGGTTCAAACAGCCTTTCAGAGCTAAACTTTTCAAACTACCCAACGATACACTTTTCATTAGCGAATAGCGTTCTACGCTGGAATTGTACGAAGGCCATTGCATGCAAAGACAAAAGATCAGAATCTAATCATAAAAATGAACAACACTGACAACACTTCATAATTACAAAAAATAATAGCAAAAGCGAATGCCAGGGATGATATACATCATACATCTTTAAAGTTCAGCGACCCAATTTCGTTGAACTTCTTTCTCCCTCCCACTTAGTGTAAATTCAAACGGTGACTTGGAACATATCTGCCCTATAATCAATCTTATTCGTCTACTTCCATCTTGCGCTTCTAGCGCGAGTTTGTTACTTTAATGGGTAAAATCACATGCAATGCGCACTCTCTAACTATTCACATCACTAGAAGCCAAAAACTTTGTTTCTCAATATCTTAAGTTGCTCATGATGAGAAACCGACTCCACGATGAGGTTCAAGAGCAACGTAAATTATCACCCATAACAAAAAGGTGGTCGATGGGATGATGAGTCTGGAGAATAATCACAAAACAACATACTACCACACTTTTGTAACGGAAATTAAAACCAACAGCAACAAAATTTAGGGTTGAAAATTCAGGCACTTCACACTTAATAGCGCTCTCTCACACCGCCTTTTAATACTTTGGCTACCAGAATCCCAGGAAGAAGTCAACCATCACAGCTTGATGTTTTGCTGCCCAACTATAGTATTAATTGTCACTAATTATTACAACCGTCTCAACTGTTGCTCAAAAACAAAGAAATGCAAATGTCTTCTGATTAAGAACTCCATACAGCTATTTAATCCTTTTAAACTCCAATGATATTTTCACAACCCATGATTTTGCATAAACATGAAGTGATTGAAAAACCTCACAGACACGTGGAGCTGCTGATGACGACATTGTTAATCGACGCAAAAATTCAAAATCCACCTGGTCCACTCGGGCGTGTGCACGAGACGAGCAATGCAGAGTGGATCAGCGTTAGCGTCTGCAGTAGCCGAATCAATTGCCTCCGAAATGACTGTCGTGAGGCGCGGTGACAAACCGAGAAGCTGTGGCAGATGCGATGAACCGATTGGTGTTACTACGCGTCCACACTTGCTGCATTTGGTTTGAAGATTGGTGGACCAGTGGCTGTGTTGCTGGTACTGGTCCAACTCCTCACTGGCCAAAACGCGACCGCTGTGGAGGAGGAGGAGGAGCTGTTGCAATGGCGCCTTCAGTCGGTTGCAGAGCGCTGGGGAGACACTGTCTGTCTCAATTTTGTTCACAACTTCGACTAGAAGGTAAAAGCAAAAAATAAGCCCTATTTGCTGATTTTGTATAATGACTGCTATTGAGAATGGAAAGTTTGATACAACTGGGACTTTGGTCTCGATTAAAGTAACCACTTCGAGCAATAGTCCCACTTTCCATTTATATAGTGAATACTATTAAAGAGGTGTTAGGAAATCCCTTTTTTTCTTCGATTTTACAGACCTCCACAACCAAAAGGCAGCAGTAGCCTTTTACTTAATGCTATACTTTTGATCTAACTTGTCAAATAACGTCCAAGCTTCCTTAGCTCAAGCCGCATCCTGATAAACTCTAAAACGTATATTATGCTTGTAATGCGTTGGTTGCATGCCTAACTCTTGATTTTGATAAGAGGGAAACTCAGATGCTTCATCAATGTGCTCTCGTCGGGTGGGCCAGGCCCCGGGCCATGCCAGTAGCCCCAAGCCCTAGTGTTGTCAAATACACATATTCGGCTCGAGTACTATGCCTTCTTTCATCTTCGGAAAAGTCTCGAGGCGCGACAATGTTGCTTGTAATCATGAAAGCTACCCAGGCTGGAACTCATGCTTGACTTTGTAAACCCGAAAGTAATCAAAATAAAGCACCAACCACATTAAACACCACACACCAATTCAATTTTTTCAACAACTACCCTCTGGTATATGCAAAACCGCCGACCTATGAAAAGGACATTTCAGAATATACTGAAAGTACCTTTAGGATTTAACGAAAGCTTCATGTTAGGCGGAAGAATTACTAAAAGCTAACGACATTCCGAATGCGAGTTATTGAACAACAAACTGAAATACCAAGGAATAATGATAATGCCGTAACAATTTTATTCAAAGAACCCAGAATGGCCTGTACGATTCTACCTAGAGAGCTGAGGTGCAGTCAGCGTTCCTTTTCACCTGCTCTTAGTACCAAATAAAGCCTCAAAAAATGCTGAACGTCACATTTTCCAGTTTATGAAAAAGCGTCTTCAATTAATCAAGCCATCAACCATCACATGAACTTGGTCAAACTGCAGATTTTGGCGCAATGTTTGAAGGAGCATTTAATAATAAGGTCCACTTAACATGCAAAACGCTAGTAATCGAATCGCCTAACTAGAATGCGAGAGACGGACTAATTGCTTCGTATGAGCAGTTTCTTTCAATCTCAGATCACCCATTGCAACACCTAGATTGCACAAGAAAATCAAAAAAGATGCTGTGAAATAGCTTGAATGCGTTTACTTACAGTAATTCTTGAATCACAATTATGATAAATCATTCATGGCAAAATGCATAGCATTATTGAAGCAGAGCATGTTTCAACTCCTGTATTTAATATTAACTTTCAATATATAAACTCAACTGTAATACTTTAATTATTTGCTTAACTCCAGGCTTTTGGGTGAAGAGGCCACTTAGGTGCTACGCTATTGCACATTTGCTGGGGGGACTGGCCTCTGGGCTACGCCAGTAGCCCCCAGCCCTTCGGTACGTCAACAATATATGTTCTGTCTGAGTATTATGTCTACTTTCGTCTTAACGGAAGTCTCGAAGCACTGCACTGGTGGCAGCGGAAAGCAGGTTCAGTCTAGATGGAAATCTACCCTGATTTTTACTGCCGACTGATCAAAATTAGCGTGACGGAAGAATTGCACATGTTGCGGATGGGAGAATGTGACAGCTCATAACAAAAGGGCTGGAAATGACGAATACTTTCGGCAACCACCCTAGTCTCGTATTCTGTAGGAAAGCTATCAACAACTGAAGCAACGCTAGCCGCAAACCATCCGGAAAAGTTTGTTATGGAGCTGTCTACCGTACCTGTATGAAGATATCGAATATGTGAAAAAGCGATACCTCCATCACTTCTCTACTAGCTGGATATAAGCCAGAGAGCTGTGGACGAAGTGGGAAAGTGGTAAGGAGGAAAAGGCGCAAAACCTGGCACCCAAAACCTCTTTTAAGCCTGTCCTTTATTGACTACTTTCAGGCCAGCGTTCCTAAGACTAGCTATGGACATACGTGACGGCCAGCACACTCCCCGTTCCCCAACACAGTCCCCATACAGAAACTTCAGGTCCAGCAGAATTGCCGTGAGGGATCAGTGGCGTTGAGGTCAAGTATCTTCTTAGTTGCATGGAAATGCAGCGACTGGAGCAGTTGGTCCTTAAGGTATTTTATTTCAGCACTATTTACATTGTGACGGCTGACGCGGGAGGTCGACCAAGGGGAACGGCGGGAACAACGCTTAAAAGAGGAGGGCTATGTCATGCATTGATTGGTTGTTGGGCTTTCGGTTTCTGGTAAAGAGGCCAATTAGTTACTCCACCGTTGTAAATTTGCTGGCTTCTGAGCCATGACAGTAGGCCCAAACCCTTCTGCTATCGAATATAAATATACACGTAATGCCTAACTATTAGGTCTTCCATCGTTTTCAGAAAAGTTTTGGGGCGCTGCATAACAGTGACTTCGGCTCATTAATAAAAAATGTTACAAGTCATTTACCGAAACGCAATAACGACTTTGGCTCAACAAAATTACACTGGTTATCAAGAAGTAAGATCTTGTTAAAAGGCGCCCTGTAAACAGTTCTTCGCCATCTTGGAACCACTACTTAGACTTTTCTATTCCAACTTCACCCAAATAATATCGAGATTAGCCAGTTTAAACAAACGATTTTGTGTTTAATAATATTTTGTAAACGTTTGGAGGAATACATGCTTCATTACTCACCTTAGTTTGCTAATGGACATCCACTTTGCAGTATATTTTACTGGGTTGTTGCGAATTCACTCTAACTAGCTAAGCCCAACTGTCAAATAAAAGGGTAATTTTTAGAGGCAGATAAGAACGATATTTTACCTACTTACAACCCTTTCCACTTTCTAAACACAGTAATATTCCTATGAATCTTAAAAAAATACTCTTTTGTTCACCCGCAGTCTTCGTATTCAGGTGATTCCATTTTTTTCTTTAGAGGAGAGGTCTACCATATGCCACCATTTTGGGTTAATGGATGTTATCGAGGAAATTCCCAAAGGAGATTCAGGAAAAAATATCGTTACTGCATGTGCCAAAGATAGTGATAGCTGTCATCAGAAGTTTGATACATATTAAAATGATGAATTAATTTAGTGACTTTTAAATAATCTTTACTCTGGGAAGAAAAAAAGTAACAAATTTATCCTACTAAGGAAAGATGAGATGCTGACGTACACATGAGTAGGAGGACGGTCATGGTGGTGGAACAGTTAATTGATTTCATGTATTGCACAAAGTTGGCCAACTGCTTCGGCTGCTGTAAAAGAGCCTCCATACGCATGTTTCTGGGCTAAAAAGTGGCAAAATCAACGGAAATAGGAAATGCTATCAGATTAATGCACATGACTATGCTAGCAACGTTCTAAATATTGTGATGGACCATCTGCCTGAAGCGTGTCATTACTAGGTGGTCAATCGAAGGAGAAAAAAATACCCGTGAGGTAGGGACATTTGTAAAGCTTTGTGTGAAAATAGAGTTGTAAACTGACGCAAAATTTACAGGTGAAATGGCATAACATTAAGCAAATGCAGTAGCATACGATGACGTGTAGACGGTGATCCCAATTGCACATGAAATGGCGTACGCCTATCTGTGTCGTTATGGCCTTCAAGAAGGTTATATTTGAATTAAACGATGTTGCATGGGTTCCTAACCTTCCAATATTACTAGTAATGAAGTTCCTTAATGATGTTTTCGTCTTCCTGCGTTTTCAAAATTAACTCAGGTACTATATCGGCATCAGGACAGCAGGAGAGGTTCAATTGTGTCAACACTAAGGAAAAGCTGAATAACATCTTGTCACGACGAATGAATTTATAACCGACAGTGGTGGATGCTGTGAAGCAGAAACCGAATAGGTTCGTGAAAGAAAAGGCAAGAAGGAATACCATGGACTCAAATCATTACTCCTTCACGTATAAAGTAGAGTAAGCTCTTGATTTGAAAATGTTGTTTACAATACGTTTTTCATAGCCAAACCACGAATTGAAGAACGAAATCGACATATTTAGTGAATTCATTTTTTTTTAAAAAACATATTAATCTAGGAAGACTAATGAGCAGCAAAGCAAACGAATGAAGGAGAGGAAAGTGCCCGAGATGGAAACACCCACAAACTCCTTAAAAACGACAGGTATGCGGTGCATTTGCAGTAGAACAGTACTCAATCTATAGTGATGCTCTCCGGATGAATATCGACGAAGTTCAACTGGTTAAAATAAGGGCGTCGATGAGAGCCTTGTGGCGTGATGATAATCGCTCCCATAGAAAAAAAGTATTAGGCATGCAATAATTTCATCATATCACGAATCTCACGCTGGCTGCGTTACTAGCCCTACAATCATTTTGTATAGCTATATACTTTTTGACAAACTCCTACGTCACTTACCAATTCTCTGGCGTTTTTGAGCCAATCATTGATGTAGGAATTCAAGAGAGGGACCATAGGGGCATTTGAGGGGTAATCGGTGTCATCCTAAGCAGAAAGAGAGTAAACTTAAGTGATCCTGTACAAGCACACAGATGATGACCCATGGAAGAGCAATGGCACTTAAGACTTGCACAGCCATATCAATTCAACGCCTTGTTTACTCCTTTGTTAAATGTGGTTTCAGATTAATACACTATTCACGTGAGACATCTAAGAATTCAACAAACTACTAAATGATACCGCAAGGACTGCCAGCAACCAGTGTGTTGATAGCTCGGTCGGCTACATTCTAAATTGGAAAAGTGGAAATAAACAAACCTCATGGCCATTCCTGAAGTAGTCATTTTGAAGTTTGACCTGACCAAATAGTGCACACTAGGTAGTTCGATTATTATTTTTTCTTAAATTACTAATACATTAATTACATTTTTTATTCACTACGCAATAGTATTCAAACTTGTTGATATGACTGTGGGTCTGTGAAAGTAGTTGCTTTCTATTTCCTTATAAACGAACTATGAGTTTTATAAAGTGGGAAATCAACTTGATGAAATTCAAGAAAAAGATTTGAAGTTCCTCAAAAAGTGGCAACCAAACTTTGTTCACGATGAACGCAAACACTCGCGGAATACGTGAGCATAGTAGATTTCAGTAATTTTATCTACCGGTAACTCCAAACTACAGGATTACACTCATCTATTTTCGTTGTTTGCCAAAAAAGGAATACTTGGGACCATTGAACTTGTGGAAAACCAAAGAAATGAAGAAAACTTACCACAATAGGATCAACTAGGTAGAGAAAAACAGTGTTCAGGGAGTCCTAGAACAGGAAAGGCCATTACCATAACAGTTGAAGCCGTACAAACTTGCACCAAAAGGGAGAATTTTGAAGCTTCTGAGATGTCTTAGAGCGTCCCGCTACAGTACAGTTGTTTATGCCTTGTAACTCGAAAGGGTTGAGCATTCTTGTAAGACGCTATGAAACCATATCAACCGTTAACATGCATGAATACACAAGCAGTCAATCGAGTAGCTTGCAGGATGTTGAGCCCACGACTGTTATTGCTACCATTTAGTCCACAAACGTGGCATCTATTCTTAAATATTGCAAGTAAACGGGTGTTGGACTTACAGGATTGGCGATAGAGTCAAGAGCAGGCAAGAGAACGTGATTAGCAAGAATCTCGGTGAGAAGGGTCCGTGCACACTGAGCAGTCTGAGTGTGATCGGGACTAACAGAAAAGAGGGGCAGTTACGCGCATTCTTCTACCAATTGTCCACTAGAACACATACATATCAATATGTTGCCGTGGTTGTATAAATGCGTGGTTTCGGTCTAACTTTCAATTGAGTAGGAATTGCACGCGAGACCCTATACGCTGATTGTAAAAACTATTACAACACTAGGTGTAAAAAATACATTGTACGCGGGCACCTAATCAACGAGTTAATAGACTGATTTCGGTTGCTAATGGCAAAATCATTGTCGACAAATGAGACTGGATTTTAGTTCTCATTAGGGCACTTCACAAAAGGGGAGGTGAAATCACTATGGCAAAATCTAGGCATCCACATGCATCAGTGGATCCCCCTACTTTCCGGAGATTCAGAACTCGCAATTTTTATAAGCGAAGCATTTGAGATGCTCCACTGAAATGGTGAAGGTGATGCTTTCAACTATAATACAACCTTAAAAACAGTTTTCAGGGAATGAGATTCCGTTTTCCGTTTTTTCCGTTGCTCAAATATGGTCAAAATTTCCTTATGATCTGCACGGCAAAACAGATCATGCGCATTTAAAACTCAGGAGACTATTAAGAGCTAAAACTATGTCCACTCGAGATAGCCAAAAAAAACAATATTCCTTGGTGATATACACAGTCGATAGCAAAACGTTCACTTTCAGGATCCTGGAAGGAAATTAACCACTGCAGCTCAGATATTTCATTGTTCGAGTAACATTATGATATCCAAAAACTAAAAAAATGCAATTATCCCCAGAGAAAAGCCAACCTATATCTGCTCTATTATTCTGAACTTAATGAATCTGCTTACAATACAATTAAGTTCAACTGCACACGATAAATATACACCACATATGGATGCTGATGACGGTGTAAACAAAAAGTAGTTTGCAATCAGTGTACGGGATCCACTTAAAACTACGCAAGTATGAAAAATATCCTTTGATGATCCACACAACAGGTAACGGGTCTTGTACGCTCTCTCTCCACATGACCATTGCAAATAACCAGATAGATTACCAGTGTAAAATATGCTCTCAAAATTGCATAAATACAGCCTATTTTTATTCAGAGAAGAAAGAATGATAGGACTCACTCAGGGTTATGATCCGCAAGGTGATTATTTTTCACAAAAGTCTGGTCTGGCATTTGGTGGTGAAACTGAGCCGATGAAAATGCCTGGTCGATTAGGTTAATTACCCGAGCGGTTCCATTCCACGCCGAGGGCTTTCTAACCTCAACTTTCCTTCTTCGTTTCAAGCCCGGTGGGATAAGAAGGTGAGGCAGTAGCTGACGAACAATACCCTGCAGATAGAGAGACTCCGCTTGACGTGATTGCAACGCTGGGTGGAGGTGATCAGCGGAGAAGAGACGCTGAAGGACCAAGTCATCAGCCAGGGGTGGTTGGATGGGTTCCTCATCTCCGCTCGGGTAGATATTAGAATCAAAGAATGCTGAGAGAAGGTAGACATAAGATAAAATTAGCTTGAGAGGAATCGGCCGGGAAGAATGACAAGAGAATAAGGGATGCACACAGCAAGCAATGCAGCAGACAACTGCATGACAGCAATCCAACCAGATTGACTAGTAACAGTCATGGGACGTATGAGAGAGCAAGGGCAGCTAGCTTACCATCTAAGTGACTAAAAACTATAACAAAAAACCATAAGTCAAGGATGAATGATGAAAAAGACAACTTTAGATACTTAATCGATAAGATGAAAGGATTAACGCACCATTTGTAAGGGTAAGTAGGTGTTCCACGTGGTGAACAACACATGGAAGGAGCTTCTGCTCTATTAGATTAGAAACATCAACCTAAGGAGATTGGAAAAAAGCACGCTTTACCGCTTTCAATCTTAGAAGAAGGACGCTACAAATGTGCTGCAGCTGGGCTTTTATATTAGCGGTAAACTTTTCATCATCAGTCAGTTGTCTATAAGCAAAAGTACAAAATGAAAATAGGATTCAAGCTTCATCTCAAAGACAAAATTCTGAATGATAAGAGACTTACGAGAACCAACGAAGAATAAAGCGGTCAATAATGAGGTCAAAAATCTAAAGTCTTGATTCAATAGTAAAATTCACATTACGTTTTGAAGGTTTTCATCGGCATGAAGTGATAATTTTGGTATACGGGGATCAAAGCATGAGCGGGAATACCTAAAAATGTGGTAGACTACGAGAAGCTTACGCTAGAATGCCGCAGTTACAAGAAGTTTGGGGTCTCAGAAATTCGCAAGAAAATAGAGTAGACTGCGACGTGCTATTGGAACACAAACGTCCACATTTTGAGTGTCTATCCAATTTCGTCCTTAAGTAGTACGATGAGGAGTGTATTTAACTACCTTAAGAGGTTACTGAGGACGAAGCCAAAATAAAAGCAAAATAAAATCAACGGAATGAATAGAAACATATCAACGCATTTCCATCTTCACAACGACACCGCAAAATTCCATTAAAGCATGACCGGCAAACTGTAGTATGGGTGTGTATAACCTTAATATCATGTATCAAGCGGCTGACTAAAGCCTACTTAAAGTGACACGTCTTAGAAAGGTGTATACCCTAACAATAAAACTCCATTTCCTTCTTCACCTCCTAATATATCCGATTTGTAGAGTGCGTACCAGTTATGAAGAAATTTAAAAGCCGAAAAGTCTAAAGATTTTTCATTTATTCTTAAGCTAATCTCGTCTAGGAATGAGTCCCTTTAAAACAGTCATTTCTTGGTTGTCAACGCAAAACCAACTATGTTTGATGATATTAAATGCCCTATATTGTAGCGTACCGAGACTCCGTGAAGACGAAAGAAGACACAATACTTGGGCAGAATATATATATTCAGCCCGGAGAAGGTGTCTGGGCTATTGGCATGGCCCAAAAGACCAGCCCACCCAGCGAGGTACAAGGGGGCTAAATCAAAGTACACAAGTGGCACCTCACCAGAACTGAGAGATAAACGACTATCGTATTACAGTATCAACTCTATTTCAACTGCTGAACTGATTTTAAACAATGATAGCAGTGGCATAGGTTCTATTCGTATTTAGAAACCGAGCATAAGAGTTCTACGGTACAAAATAGTTTCACAACGATGCATAGAAAGCTAGTTTAATTCAGCTTTTGACTGCGATGATACTTATTCTACCTCAAGTTCTGCTTCTGCTCGGAGGCTTGGCCCCAGCCCATACCAGTAGCCTCTCATCATTTCTTCATGTATGATTTGCTAACTGCTTACGAATAGTACAGAATTAAGGAACCACGTATACATGCTGAAGCATTAGGAAAATGGTACAAAATACTTCATTTCGAATGCTGGGTTGTGACAGGCCCAAAGTTTATCCCTTCCTCCTCGAACTTCAGGCTATGGGAGAGCTTCTACAAGAGCATGCTCATTAATGATAATTATGGTGAAGTACACAGGTCAGATCTATGCGCGTTCTGAACTCTCGCTTACCTCAGTAAATTCTGCTGGCTACTCCGCCTCGAGATTCATGTTCACTGAACGCTTCTCACCTAAATGACACTTTTAAACAAAATATCTACTACATTTATGTGCTAGTCATTTACAATAAAACCGGCATAACATCAAGATTCAAATGATCTACATGGATTATGTTTTGGACACGAAGGGTCAGCATTAGCCCCGGTAGACAGTACAGGAGAGCATGGAAAATGCGTTTTCAAGATGAAGTAGTGTTAAACACACGTTTGTTTGATTTTACCCCTAGGCAAGAGGTGCTGAATGCGTGCAAATCGCGTGTCTGAGCTGAAGTTATTGGCTCCTAAGGCTAAAGCGGAAGCTGGACTGATTTGCTGGCAGTTTTCAATGCTTAATTTGCTACCATTTTCACGGAAAAGATGTCCTTACATAAAATTTTGCTGACTTTAAGGGCATAAAGAAGAAAGAAAAAGGGAGTAGCACCAAACCGACTACATGCTTATTATTCCTAATCTGAAAAATACAGTCACATTATAATACTTATCGGCTTATAGTGTGACTATTGCAATACGATGGTGGTCTATCCCTCGATATTGGCGGGGCGACACTTTTGTACTTTGAATTAGTCTTCTTTTACTTTTCTGGGTGGGCTGGCTTTCGGGCCATGCCAATAGCCCAAGCGCCTTCTCTGTGCTAAATATATATATATATTCTGCCCGAGTATTGTGTGTTCTTTCGTTTTCAGAGAAGTCTCGGGACGCTACACTATCATCATAGTCGTGAAAGTATAGGAATTGTTACCTGACGAACCAAAAATGCACTGATTTGCAATGCTTATGTTACTTTTATGTGCTATTTAGGGAGGAGGCAAAGTTGTAATTCGAATCTGGTGACAGGGTCGTCATCTCCCGTGCCTGAGTGCGATTGCAGTTTCCCCCTCCCGTAAACTTTGCATTTGTTCTCCCGATCCATTTCCTTCTAATAAATATCCCAGTATTAAATTTACTGGGCCGTTTTAAGGACACCAGGAACAGGAGGGAGGAGACCTGTGAGTCTTGCCCTACGGATTAATACAGTTTTTTCGATGAATTTTCATCATTGATCCATTGGAACGGCTTTCTATTTGCTAATACAGACAAAAACTTTTATTGTGCACTTCTAATTATTTTAAGTGCCTGCGTGCCTAGTTTTAATGCATTTTTTAATGGAAAGCAATTTTTTGTTTTGTTACGTCAGTTAAGTGCGGCTTATTTGGCACGAATTTTACTTCAATGTGGTATGCGTTCGAGAAGTAGAGTTACGCAGGGTACGTTTTCGACTTCTGTATTTTGACTATAACCTCATCTCTCCCTTTAAAGTAGCTGCTCATTATTTGCACCTCCCTGATCCCTACTAGGGTGTCATGCATTTCGTTGATTTTGTTCTTATTGCAAAATCGTGATATCCTGCTGCGGACCGTGTCTCTTAGGGTACATGCTTTCAATTACTGCTTCAGGTTAATTCTTGCATTTTCCTGGGATTTGCTGTCTTTCTTGTTGTCCTCCACTTTGTTATTTTGCAGTTTACTTCAAGGAGCTTCATTTAATTAGGGATACTTTTCTTCCATGCACTGTTTTTGACAGAGTGCGAATGTGCTAAGGCAGCGAAATTATGTAAATTCCCTCCAGTTGTTTTTACAATGGTCAGTGATTTTTTTGAATATTCCTTCACCGGTTAAGTGCGTCTGGCAATTGGTACTTAAGTTTTTATTTGTATAGATAGGATATTACGACTAGCAATTTCTGCGCGTCTCTACTCATCTGTTTTCAAATGTATTAGTCTGTCACCTACACTTTATAATTACAATGGTTCGTTCTGTTTTATATCCGCATCTGCCTTACTGATTACAGAGGAATTAACCAAGATCATATCGGTCATAAACCTTCTTTCGAGCTCCAGTGAGAAGGCCACTGTAGACACAATTAGCAGCCATTTGTCGAATGAGGTGCCCAGCGCCGATCGATTATCACGAATCTTAAATGAGGCTGTTTCTCGGGGCTCCGTTGTTAAAAACCCCGAGGATGGGTTTTACCACCCCACTCGCAGCTTGCGACCACATCGGCGCTCATTCCTCTTCTCTCAGCATCCCTCTGTCCTCTACGATGTAACCACACCGCGGCGACGTACAGGGTCTTCTATTCAACGAACACACAAAACGCCTAATGGTGCAGCCGTATGTTACTTCCCCCTAAGGGCTTTTTTCCTCTAACAGCGTCGTGGTTCTCGCCTCTCCTATCTATTTGCAGACATCTACTCGTGGCATATCGGATATTATTCCAGTTTGTGGTTTCTGTCTTGGTGATGAGGCCAACAACCCGAGAACGGGTGAGCCTGAAGAGATGCTAGCCTGTTGGGGCTGCGGTAGCTCAGGTGGGCATTTGTTTCCATTAGCTACACCACTACCCACTCGTCTAACCATTTCTCACGGAGAAATCTTCCTCCAGCCCATCCAAGTTGTCTACGCTTATCGGCGGCGATGGTGCCCCAAGTGAAACGGCTACGCTGGTACTGCATCGATTGCAAACGCTGCACAATTTGCCACTACTCGGCATCCAATTCCGCGGAAGGCGAAAGAGCAGCGGTAGCGGTCAGTGGTGGCAGCGCTAGTGATAAGGACAGTGATCTCCTGCTTTGCGATAACTGCGATCGTGGATATCACCTTTCCTGCGTGGCTCCGGAGCTCACAGAACCTCCTGATGGTGCGTTCTGTTTCCTTTCCACGTTGGAGCATTAGATTTAATAGAGGCGCTTGATGTTCCTGATGATGAAATATCAGTTGGGATCCCTTCTATAGTTTACGGTTCATGTGTAGAAATGACTGAAATTAGACGTGTTGGGTGCTTCCTCTCTCCCGTCACCTCATGGAGACAAAAAAGATCGTGGTAGTCTTTTATGGATCTTATTCCGTTTATGTAAGTGTAGTTGGCCATACCGTAATGCTATTTTTAAACATACCGCAGTATAGGCTCTTACCTTTCCATTCCTCCTCTAATGTATGCACAGAAGGTTCCCACAGTTCCAGATGTGGACGCTTACAACTATCAGTTTTTCGGTTTAATAGTCATCAGCTACTGCCATGATTTTCAACGCTTTTAAATTGGATGAAATAGTTTCATCACAGGGGACTAATGAATGAGTCGCTTTCTTTTCTGGTTTAGGGTAAGTACTATACTGTTTAAGTGTTTGTACAATGACAAAAAAGAAAGTTACCAACTTTCTTTTTCATTGCTTACGTACATGTAAATGAATTAAGATCTTCCAAGGAACAGTGTAGTTCTCTATTCAGTTCCGGGGACAGCAGAATAAGTTTGCAATGATACATATGGATTTGGAGGCCAAGAGTTAGACAGAATTCCCTTCAGTGCGGCACTTCAACTTTCCGCCTAAAATTTTTTTAATATCTCGTTTCAACAGTGACTTTATTGGGTCATTGAATGATCCTCTCTCAAATCCAGGTACCTGGATCTGTCCCATCTGTGAGCGCTACCCCGAGGGTTACACCCAACCCGAAGCTCGTCCCTCTTCCCTTGGCCGTGAAAACACCTTAGCAGCAGCTACAGCGACCACCGTCACACAGGACCCACTTGATCCCCGGCTGCAGGCGGCGGCTCTGTGTGACCTGCTAACCGACTACGAAGTGCAGCTCATACGGCAGGCTCTTCAGAGCTGTGGCAGTGCCAGCAAAGCAGTCACGACGTCAACAAGGAAGCCAAGGGCTTCACGACCAATTAAGTCGGAGGCTCTTTTGAGGCCGAAGAGGTCGGGTGTTTTGGTCCAGAAAACGCTCACTAGCTGGGCCCTCAGAGTCGAGAGCAAACAGAAAAGTTAGTCTCCTTGTGATCTGTGATTAATATGAAAAGGTAGGTTGGGATTGACGTTGCCTAGGCTGTGAACGCCTGTATCATTTCCTCGGAATAATCGGGACTGAGAGTCTTAATGCTTCTACGGCTGTCTTAGTGTTCTATAGCATCTTACTATAACATTTATTCTGAAACCTGGCATATGACTTAAGTGTCTAGGAACGATGTCGTTTATACTGCTACTATTACTTTAGCCAGCTGCTAGTATACGTGCTGCAATAATCTTGCAGGTCTCGTATTATTTAGCCATAGGTGAGAACGGTTTGTTTGTCCCAAAGACCAGATAAGTGAAGGATGGGGTAGTATGACCAGAATAGTTAAGACTGAAAGCATTCTATGCCTCTGTGCATGAACACTGGTAATCTGCGGTTTATACTGACGTTAACTTTATTAAGGATTTGCTTTTCCTGATAGGCACTGACACCACAATGAAGTTGGAAGCAGACAATATATCATCAGTTGGGCGCGTGACCACTCGACGAAGCATCGTGAACACTACCGGTGCCTCGGCCTCTATCAGTACCACTGCGGGCGTCCCTACTACGCGTTTGGCTGCGCGTCGGTCATCGGCGTACGCCTCCACCGACGTCTCACTAACTCCGCCCGCCAAGCGGTGCAGGCTGGGCTGCACTGCGTCGGTCGCCTCTTCGCTGCGCGTCCAAATTCCTAATCATTGCGGGCCGCGACGACAGCAGCACCAAAATTATTTGCAGTCATCTGGTGAGTAAAACCACTTCCTGTAGTTGCACCTCCATATCTTAAACCCTTGATGAATAGCGAGTTGCTTCGCTTGATTCTTGCCTACCCGCTTCTTTGGATCACTAACTGTTTGTAAAACAGAATCGTCTGCAACAACAACAGCGATTAAGTCACCACTTGACAGCTGAAGGCTGGCGAGCTTGCCACTCGAACAAATGCGTCCTCATTTCTCAAATACTCGGTACATTTTGTATAATACCTGTGATGAAAGTCATCCTCAGAACTTTGAAGCCGTTGGGGTATATAAATGCTTTGATGGAGCTTTCACATTGTCAGCAGTGGATATTTTGTTACTTCCTTGTCCAAAGTTTAGGGTTGGATGTATCCACAGAATAAGGTAGATACAAAAATAGGTGATTTACTTATTTGTTGTATGGTTTGCTGGGCGAATAACTGTATTCTGGGTTTGGTTTCAGGGTACCACCGTCTACTTTATTTTTTTACCCTTATTGGGGCTATTCCGTGACGATGGGCCCGCTCTAAACCATGCTGTTTTTTGAAACGAAATCCTCTTACATTTCTCGCGGCTATCGGATACACAATGAGCGGTAGGCAGATTCACATAATGCTGTTTTGATGTCAAAATATGCTTTTGTTGCGCGGGATTATTAAGCTGAAAGTCCACCGATCCACTTGAAAAGCCCCGTCATTCGGCATAGTAAGTTTTTGATTCTTGGGTCACCCATTAACGTCGGTGAGTTTGGGCGTTTTCGTTTTCAACTGAAAAACCTTACTCATTCTGCCATTTTCAGACGTGGTGTCGATTTCCAACAAAGCTCCCATTCTTTATATGCACTTCCGCTGTTCCATTTCTTCACTCCTGTAGCAGTTCGTTGCAAATGCTTAGGGTAGTCCTTTTTTGTCAAGACCTTGGTCGATTTCAAAATAAACAGCCCACCCGGCCGACGTCAAAACCGATTAATTTTTTGTCTAACCCTCCATGCGTGACTCATCATTATGACCTGAAGGTGTAGCATGCCCTTCGCACACACACCAATCCCATTTGGATTCGGTACGTCAACTGTTCAATTCAAAACCCGACCTGCTCATACCTCTGTATGTCGCATTTGTGGGCATGGTCTTTTGTATGCTTCAGCTGAACCCGAGGCCTCTCCCGCTCCTAACTTTAACGCGCGGGAGCAAAAACAACATCGTGGACGTCGGGGGAGACGCCATACATCAGCAGCCGCACTTCAGCTCATCAAAACGGGCATCAAACGTCTTCGTGGAGGTTCAGGACGCGGACATTCCCTCAGCAGTGTGTTGCGCGGCTCAGATGTTGAGGAGAATTCTGTTGATATCATCGCCGCAGATTTCGTCGATGGAAAGGCAGTGGAAGAAGACACTTCAAAGATATTGGCGAATGGTGCAGCAGTTGAGATGAAAGATGGAGAGGAAGATGATGGACAAAAAAAGGAAGATGCGAATGATGATGATGACGACGAAGATCCATGCTTCGGAACGATTATTGATGCAGATCGGAAACTTTTCCAGAACGTTCAGTCTCGTGTTCAGGAGGTGGGGCCTTCTCAATCTGAGTCATGGTTTTGTTTGGTTGGCTTGTTTCCAATCCCCTGTCCCCGTTTTTTGACTGATTACATAATCCCAGAGCTTCGTGATTTTAAGACCCTGAGTCTCTGCACACTTTGGTAACCGACGTTTTTTGGATCCATATCTATCTTCGACTGAATTGATGAATGAAACCCGTAAACAGTCTGCGGTGATACCTGATTTATTCTAAAAGGCATAAGTATGAAAGTAGCTGTGATTGCAAAGGGGGTCTAGGTGACTAGTGGCACAGTTCTTCAGAAAGCTCATACCTTATGATATGTTTGATAATTGTCTTTCATCCTCTCACCCTTCATCTCTTCCACACAGTGTCTTCCACAGTCTCTGGAAAATAGCAAACAGCTCCCTCCAACAGATAATCCCCGTCTGCTGAATACTGCCAACACTCCGTCGAAAATACGAACCTCAACGGAATCAGCTCCCCCAAAGGACATCCCGTCTCGATATCCTCCTCGGATCCAGTTTGGCAAGTACTGCATCACCACCTGGTACTCTGCCCCCTATCCCTCCGAATATGCCAGGTAGGATTTTTTCCCTTTCTCATTTCGCGTCGCCTTGCTGTGAGGCCTTTCGTACAAGGCTGTTTTTGGTGTGTTGCCCTGTTATTTCCATTCGCCCGCACAGTGGTACTGGTTCTGTCAGGCGCAGGGCCCAGCGGTAGCAAAATTAGCACTTCTTTTTCAATTCTCGAATAGTGGCACTTCGGACAATTTATTGCAGTAATTCTAATCTGTACAAAATTATACTTCAGTTGCCTCCTGAAATCCTGCCAACTAAGTCTACATTTCCTAGGAAATCTTTTCCGACCTATTTTCAATACATGTGTACAAGTTCCTAGTACTTGGTTGATGCTGGAATAAGGGATTATTTTTTTAAAATTAATTCCACTATTACATCGTAGCAGTCAGTAGTCAGGAGGAGATTATTCTACTCTTCACCCGAAATGGCAATTTTTTATCAATGCATTGATTATGATTTTGTAGTGTTACTTCTGGTTTTCTATGACGGCTTTGAAAATTGGTGGCCTGTTTTGATAATGTTTATCTCTTAACTCTTTAGATTGAATCTGCTGTACATTTGTGAATACTGTTTGAAATACTTCAAGACCGAAGATGTGTTCAAGCGACACATGGTGAGTTTTGACTGTTTCTTTAATGTTGGAGTATGCGTTTGAAGCTTTTTTGCTACTACTTTGAGGTTGTATTGTTCGTTCACCTCTCAGGTGATGAATCTTAACAATCACTTGGTCCTGAGTGCACTTATAATGTGTAGATACATTATTTGAAGACCGTAACCGAGTGGACTACATCAACACGATGTTATGCACAAAGCACTAAGTGGCCTAACTTTTCTGTTAGTTGATTATTCACACAACTCCATACTCCACCGATCCCTTTTACAAACCAGTTCTTTTGCACCCAAATATTCCAGTTTGGGCCTAGTTTGATTTGTCTCATCTTAACCACGACTTTGCTGTACCGTTGGAAGAATCTTTTTTTGGTTATTACAATGAAGTCCTTTGCAATCTCCCTTGTTCCATCACTGCAGAGCAAGTGCACCACCTACCATCCACCGGGAAATGAAATTTACCGATGTCAAAACATCTCCGTCTTCGAGGTGGATGGCCAGATATCTAAGCTGTACTGCCAGCAGCTCTGCATCCTGGCCAAGTTGTTCTTAGATCACAAGACCCTCTACTACGACGTGGAGCCCTTCCTCTTCTACGTCATCACCGTTCATGATCCACATGAGGGCTTCCATTTGGTGGGCTACTTCTCCAAGGAGAAGCGTTCAGCGCAGAAATACAATCTCAGCTGTATTATGGTCCTACCGCCTTATCAAAAGCAGGCCTATGGACGTTTTCTCATTGATTTTAGTAAGCTCGCTTCAACCATTTTGATACCTTTTTCCCAGTATGTTCGGACCACCCTCTGTGCAATTTTACGAGCCTAAATTTGCATTTTACATTGTTATCTTTTATTCATTCGTTTTTTATTTTTACTATATTGTTATATATTATCGTATTTTTCCTTCTCTGCTTGATTTTCAACCCGCCAAACTGCAGTTGTGTTCTCTACTTTTTTCTGCCCATGATTCGTGTATCACTTAGCCTATCAACTTCGAGTAATATGCTGAAGTAGGACCGTAAAGACGCAAACCTATTACCTGAGGTTTATACCATTTCCCAAATAGGGAGTTATCTACTATTTGTTTGTCTTGTAAACCGATATGCACTTATCCTTACTGCCAAGTGCTGCTTTTAGATACCGTTTTGACGTTTGTAGCCAGACATCTCTTCTAAATCTAACTTATCCGAGGGTCGTATTTAAAACCTTGAGTTTGGAGCTCGATGGTCTCGTAAAACACCGGCTATTGATTCATTAGCTAGTGGGAATATGTTGCAAAATATTGAATTCTGGGTTGTGTTTGTACTTTCTCAAACTCCTTACTCTCTGCCTCTATCTAGAGCATGCGCGCATTGTGTCTTCTGTGTACTTTAGCCCTAATTTCATTCGCCTTATTTCCCTGACACAGTAGAGTTATAAGCTTTTCTTCACGCTTTAACTCAAACAATGCAATTTGAGCAATGGGAATATTCATTTTAACGGAGGAAATTATGCGCTGGTGCATCCAGTGGGGAAAAACTTGACTTAGTTAGCATTAGGTTTCGGCTTCTTTTTTAACCCCTTGTTTCCAGTAACAATAATCTTGTTCACCAAATGCGAGCCAATGGTGTTTTGTACTCTTAAATATGACGGGATTGCCAATCGCGTCTAACTCAAGCCCTTCGCCGCCAAGGTCTCTCCCTAAGGCAGATCCATTATTGGAGCTCACACATTTTGTCCCTCTGATGTGACACCGTTTTCAACATTTTTTTTCTACTTTTCGGTCTTTTTTCATTTCCTCTCAAGAAACCGGGGCGTCATAATTGCATGTAACATTGGTAGTGAGCGTGCTAGATCCTCCTGTCTCACAGGCAGGAAGTGTAGTTGATTTCATTAACCAAATTTAGTCTCTTATTAAACCAACAGAACAAGGGTAAATAAGTCAGCCCCCTCCGTCTAATTGTTTTCAGCTGACGCCGGCCGTTTCACCGCAGTCATCGTTGTCTTGTTCGTTTCGAATGGACCTGTTCGTTGTTTGCCCAACACTGCCTCACCTCCATTTGTTTTGCACACATCGATTCCATTCCATATTTTTTATGCCAGAGTGGAAGCAATTGCTCACCCTCCTAGTTGCCAAAGGCCCTGTCATAAAACACAAATTGACTGGTCTTCCCCGAGGCAAATCAGCACACAATCACTATTCCTAATGTGTAGGTATCATTTGTTCTGTAAAATATCATCATCAGACATTTTGCTCTTGCACTGCAAACATATACTGTTCAATTTACGAAGCTCATAGAGTCTACGTGCCGTGTGCATCCTCCCTCCACTCTCAATCTCTTTGATATGCGCCGAGCATATTCTCTCTCCGCGACGCTGAACAATCGTCTTGACATTAAAACACTCCATCAGCCCCTTTGGGGCCTAGAAAAGCACTTTATTGAATCAGTGCTTGCCCATCAGCTTTGTCCATCTATCATTCTGTAAATTGAACCTATTTTTATCATGCTTACAGTGTTAAGTTTCTCAAATTCACAAACCATAGAGACATATTTTTTGGTCAAAGTGGCAGCTACATCGATAATGTTATCTTTATTCCAAAATCAGTGCAGAATATCCAGCTGAACCATTGACAACACGGTTTTCCCCTTAATGATGGAAAAAGGAGACTTCTGTATCGCAAGAAGCGACAAGTTTGTAAAATGCCTTTCTCAGTTTTTGCGAAGTGGCTAAATGCCTGCAAGATATGATGAAAGTTAACTGGTGTAACATCTGTCGGTGATGGTTGGTGGGTTTTCGAGGCCAGTTCCTTTTTAATTTGTGGTGGAGCGAGGGTTTTGTAGCCGTTCAAATGCTTTCGGCTTTTGAAGAGCTCGTATTCCGCAAAAAAACGGTACTCTGAATTCCTACCGTGGCAAAAAATTGGGACAACCCTTGAGCTGATCAATGTTTCCTTCAATTCCAATAATCAGTTTGTGCGCCGAAATCCATGCATCCCTCCAGCCTCTTTATATTTCTGTCAAGCTCTTCTTGGGTTAAGATGGATGTATTCGTCGTTTTTGGCATCTTCTTTCATTTGTCTCCTGTTTATCCAAAATTTTTTTTAAATAATCATGTTGAATGTCGTTTCAAACCTTCAACCATAGGACTATCCGTTTCCCATCTACCGCAGTGTCCCAGGTTAAGCTCATCTTTGATCGATGGTCAATTGTCTCGTACGACGATTTCAACCATTCTCTTCCCAATGGCTACAACACTCGAGTACTTGATTGCAAGCTCTCCTCAAACCTTATGTAGCTCTGATTGGCCTGATCGAATGCCATTAGCTCCCCGATTTAATGTCTCTGTTTAACACACCAATCTGCAGTCGCATGACTGTATTTCTAAAATACTTCTGCCTACCCCCAGGCTACCTGTTATCGCGGATTGAGGGCCTATCGGGCTCCCCGGAAAAACCTCTTTCCGATCTGGGTCGTCTCTCCTATGAGTCCTATTGGCGCTCTACCCTGCTACCCCTAATACTTAGCACGGAAGAGGGAAACAACGGTGGAACCTTGACTTCTGATATCACTGTTCGCCAGCTGACCGAGGCCACTGGCATTGATGTGCATGATGTTGTCAGCACTCTTCAACAACTCGCCTCTGACATCCAACTGGATAGCCAAGACAGCAGGTTAGTCAACAAATAGTTTCTTGTTTAGTCGTTTTTCTCTGAGATTTTTTGCATTTATGGCTGTGGTCAATAGCCAAGTGCTGACTGTCTTCAGTGTAAATCAAATGGAATGTTTCATCCATTAAAATGTGAAAGGACAGGACTGGCTTTTATGATCAGGGCTTGGGAAACTCCATTGAGCGTCTTTGATTAGCTTTTCATAGTCGAGATCGGCATTTCGTTTTCTGGTTTCTCAGTCTAATATCCATTTTTTTTTTTTGACATGGAAGATCTGGCACACGTTGGACTTTTACAGGACGTTTGTTTTTTTTCGAAATCCCAATGTAGTTCTTTGTTGAACGGTATTTTAGATCTTTTTTACCTCGATTTGTGCGTTTCTTTTATGTTCATCTTCAACTAAGTTCCTCCGTGGTTTTGGTCGTAATTTGAGGCAAGATAACGACAGTTCTAAGCGTATATCGAGCTGATACATACCTGTGAAGGATCGGATCAAACTTTGATTGGGAACGTATTCAATAAATTGTGGAATGAAGTAGATACTTCGGTGTTTTTTAGAACTCATTGGATTCTTTTAAATGATGGAATGAATGATCGAGTAGTCGGAGTGATTAACCCTTTTGATAATCGATTTACGGTGTTCTCGCCAAGAAGGGGCCAAATTTTTCTTAGCTTCCATGACGAATCTTTGGTTAGCAGTCAGATGGCGAAGGTCTTTAGGGTAAACTACCTTTTTGTCCCACTTCAGGATAGACATTTCATTCGATGTGTTATGAGCTGGAGTTCTGCAGCGATGCTTTTAAAAGAATTGTCTTTTGCACTAGAGCAGTTCATAAAAAAAAATAGGCTTTTGGAGTTAGTTAAAACCTAGTACACTCGAGTGGTTAAATGGATCCTTT